TGAACTTGATTATTTTATCACATCTCAGTTCTAGCCAGTTAAACAGCACATTTTAGCAAAGACAACCTTTTACATTTGGCTGGAAATTTCTACATGAAAAAAAAAATAATGTCCTGAGTGGGAACGAGGAACTTGGAGTGGTGGCTAAGCCCGGCTAAGACACGGCCTGTCCATGTGCTCACAGAGGTGGACAGGGCTATAGCTGAAGCACTCTTGAAAGTCATCAAGGCTTTGAGTCACCATCGTCTGCCATTTCAAAGGTTCCAGGCCCTTGACCCAAAGCCAAGGTGTGTGTGTGGGGGGGGGGGGCAGGGAGATCGTAGAATCCCTTGGTTTCAGGATGAGGAGAGGGAGCCCGAAACACAGGCTTCTTTGGTTGCAAACCATCACCAGCGCGCACACGCAAAGACAAGAGCGGTTGTTAGGGCTGACGCCACTCACTCCCCAAGCATCTCCTGATCGTGGGGGGCCACGGCAGCGGCCTCCCCTGAGAAGCCCGCAGCGCCTTCGCCAGCTGTCACGCTTTGCATGCCACTGGACCTCCGGCCTGGCACAAGGAACCCATCCAAGTCACCAGCTCCAACCAGCGCCAAATCCTGTGCCCAGGCTGGGCCCATACGGCCACCCGGAACTCTTTTCTGGGGCCCCTCTACTGGCACACTTGAATGGACACCAACCAGCCTGGCCTACTGTGGGCTCCTGGGGGGAGGGAGGGGGGCGGCCTGTCTCCAAGAAGGAAGGATGAAGTGAGGCCCAGGGAGGAAAAGAAAACAAAACCTCCAGAGGGCCCCACACAAAACAAGGACCCCGTGGAGGGGAAAGTAATGTGAACTCTTTCATCTCTTTGATGGGGGGGCGGGGGGAGGGGGGGCTCTGGCTCTGGGTAGGAAATTTGGCTGGTGTAGTCAGGCAACTCTGACCCGGGCTTTATAGTTTCTGTCCTCTTTCCTGTCCCTTCCTGGGGCATGGTAAAGTCCTAGGCCCTCTACTGAGGGGGTAGACAGATTTTTTTAAAGTCAAAAGAAGGGGCTGGGAAGGTAGCTCAGTGGTAGAGTGTTTGCCTTGCATGCACGAGGCCCTGGGCTCGATTCCTCAGCACCACATAACAGAAAAAGCCAGAAGTGGCACTGTGGCTCAAGTGGTAGAGTGCCAGCCTTGAGCTGAAGAGCTGAGGGGCAGCGCCCAGGCTCAGAGTTCAGGCCCCACAAGTGATCCCCCCCAAAAAAAAAGTCAAAAGAAGAGGTCACCAGTGCCTGCCTCCTCCTAACACCCTAGGGACTGTACAGAGGAGTCCTGGGGGGGAGGGCAGAACGCTGGCACTGCAGGTGGTATCATAGAGATCCATTGCTTAGGATCATGGCAGGAATCTTTCACCTGGGCCTAGGCTGATCCTACACTCTCACTCAGTCCTCAAGACTCTCCATCACAGTCCTCTTCTGGGCGTCTTCATCCAGCAGAAGGGAGTTCTGGAAGCCAGCCCCTGCTGCGGGAGCCCTGCTGCTCCTATATCCGTAGCAATCTGCCACCCCTCATTCAGCGGAGAGCCAGTGTGTCCACACAAATCAAATGCAATTGCGTGGGAGGGAAAGTGGGAGAAAAATGAGGGAGGAGGTAACAAGTTGGACAAGAAACGTACTCGCTTCTTTACATATGTAACTGTAACCCCTCTGTGAATCACCTGGACAATAAAAGTGAATTTAAAAAAAAATCAAATGCAAGCCAGACACCAGTGGCTCACACCTCTGCTACTCAGGAGGCTAAGAGCTAAGGATCATGATTCAAAGTCAGCCCAGGCAGGAAAGCCTGAGAGATAATCTCCAATTAACCAGAAAAAAGCTAGAAGTGGAGCTGTGGTTCAAATGATAGAATGCTAGCGTCAAACGCAGAAGTTCAGGATCAGTGCCCAGGCCCTGAGTTCAATTCCCCAGGACATTCTTTCTTTCTTTCTTTCTTTCTTTCTTTCTTTCTTTCTTTCTTTCTTTCTTTCTTTCTTTCTTTCTCTCTCTCTCATGCACACACACACACACACACACACACACACACACAATGCAGGTGTCTGTGGAATTGCACAGAAAATAGACTGCTTGCTTTGAGGGGTTGGGAAGGTGGCTCAGTGGTAGAGCGCTTGCCTTGCATGCATGAGGCCCTGGGTTCGATTCCTCAGCACCACATAAGCAGAAAAAGCCAGAAGTGGCTCTGTGGCTCAAGTGGTAGAGCCCTAGTCTTGAGCTGAAGAGCAGAGGGAGAGTGCCCAGGCCCAGAGTTCAGGCCCCATGATGAAAGAAAGGAAGAAAGGAAGGAAGGAAGGAAGGAAGGAAGGAAGGAAGGAAGGAAGGAAGGAAGGAAGGAAATTAACTGCTTTGAAACAGGTGAAATGCTGAGATGTTGAACTTTCAGACTATTTCCTTTCTGCTGGCACGGCTCCACATTCTGATTCCTTATCTCTCTCCCTAAGCCCCTATCCCCATGTGAGGCCAGGACCCCTGGAATCAAGGGGACCTACCAGCTTCCTTCCCTTTCCATGAAGCCTACAAGACACGGTGGGTGAGAGCATTTGGGAGTTTGCACACTTCCGGGGATGAGCCTGAGAGTGCTTTTCAGATCCATCTGTAGTTGCTTCCAGGAGAATGGGAGGTACAAAGAGCAGTGCTTGGCTTTGGCAAGATGCAAAACCAAATGTGGTCCCTGCTTTCAAAACAATTTCAGATGAATTCAGAGATGCTGTTCCTGCAAGACAGTCCAGGCTAAGGAGAAATGCTTTCTCAATGGATGCCAGGCATAACGAAGGCTTGAGGGAGGTGGGCAAGCTCCAGAGCTCATCATGTGGTAGAACCTGAGGTGTGGCAGGATGTCCCCAGAGCAGCTGGAGTTAGAAGCAGAAACCAGAGTGGCATTTTGGGGTGAATATCAATGGAAGAAAATGAGAACAGAATAGCTTTAAAACCTGCAAGCACAGCCAATGGGGCTGCTAGCGCAGAGCTTAGTTCTTGTGGTGGACAGGCCTTCTTACAGCTTCCTTTGTCTTATATCAAGAGCACCAAGGTGGAAGAAGATCAGTTCCGTTCTCCTACTCTAGATCCGTGTCATTGAATAGAACTTTGTGCCACAATGGATATGACCTACAGTCCCATCATCCAGTGATGCACCCAGTGTACCTGTCACTACTATGCAACGTTAACACAACTGGAGATCTTAAAACAAATACAAAAACTGGTCCTGGGGCTTGAACTCAGAGACTGGGTGCTGTCTCTGAACTTCTTTTGCTCAAGGCTAGTTAGCACTCTAACACTTGAGCCAAAACTCCACTTCTGGCTTTTTTTGGGGGGGGTGTAGTTTATTGGAAATTAGAGTCTCACAGACTTTTCCTGCCAGGGCTGGCTTTGAACCAAGATACTCAGATCTCAGCCTCCTAAGTAGCTAGGATTACAGGAGTAAACCACCAGTGCCCAGAGAGATCTACTTTCTATATGTGTACCAGTACTGGGTCTTGAACTCAGGGTTGCCCCTTACCTTTTTTTTTTTTTGTTCTAAGTTAGAGCTCTACCACTTGAGTCACAGACTGCCCAGTCTCACTTTGAACAAAAATCCTCAGATCTCAGCTTTCTGAGTAGTTAGGATTCCAGGCATGAGCCACCGGTGCCCAGAGAGATCTACATTTTAAACTTCTTTTTAATTAATTTACATCTAAATAATCACTTGTGACTGGTGGCTGCCGTATGGAATGTTAGAAGTTTAATTACCGAAAGTTTCTTCCCCAGAACATTTTGTTGTCCTGTGATGACAAGATGAAGTAGTGTCATTCATCCTGGGGAAGAAAGTGCACAGCCACTAAGAAATGCTGCTTCATTTGGAGAAGAGATTCAGTCCTATCCTCACCAGATAAGATTCTGTGAATGTTTTGGTTCGATTTTGTTTCTGATAAGACGGCACCTTTTGAGAAACTTGGTTTTGCTTAAGCAAAAGTCAAGCGAACACACCTCAGGAGGGGTGAAGAACTCCAACCCTAAAAGCTCTTAGCCTCCCAAAGACCTTTCAGTCAGAAAAATAGGGGATGAGAATGGCAAGTAAGGAAAAATCATCTCCTAGTGCTACTGTCATTTAGTCCAGAAATTCTCTGACATACTCTGACATACATACTTAAAAACCACGTCTTACACAAGAGCAACAGAGTCACCATAGCCAAAAGGTAGGAGCCAGGAAAGTGGCCATCCATGAATGGGTGGATGCAGAAAATGCAGTCATTATTCAGCCCTAAAGCAAAGGGCAATTCAGAAACCAGCCACATTCCGTTGGATGAAGTTTAAAGACACACTGGCTGAAATATGCCAGTCACCCGAAGACAAATACTGTAGAATTCTACCTAGACAGGTACCTAGGGCAACATTACTTCATGGAGACACGACGACAGAGAGGGTGGGTGGTCAGGCCCTGGGGAGTGGTTGAATGGCCAGTTTCCGTTTTGGGTTTTTTTTCCCCCAAGATGCAAGTATTGTGATGATGGGCTGTACCATTAAGTGATGCACAGTCCTCACACAACTGAACTTTACTCTGAAAAGCGACGACGCTGATAACTTTCCGTTAGGAAAGTGTCTTTTGCATATATACGTGTGTTTAAAGGAAAAGAGGCAGTAGAGGGTTGAGGGAGGTAAAGGCATTTTAGCCTAACTAACGCAAGCAGTGCTTGTGGAACAGCCTCAATGTAACCCCAAAGACGCCCCCCTCCAACCAGTCCAGAAACCCTGGCGCCCGCGCCCACAATAACTTTCTAAAGCTGAGCCCCAGGCCCCTCCGCTCCGGCCCAGGCGCTCGCAGCCAATGAGCACACGCCCGCGCACGGCCGCGCGCTCCCATTGGCTGCGCCCCGCCAAGCGCAGTCCCCCGCAGGTTCCCAAGCCGGGTTTAAAGGCGTCGGGCACGGATTGCGGTCCCACCACCCGCTACCAGGTCCACGGGGAGGGGTGGCTTGCGACGGGCCCACCCCAGGGCGTTCCTAAAGGGCGCCGTCGGCCGCCCCTACCGTCCCCCGCCCCCAGATGTACTATGCGATTTCCGAGGCTCGCGTGAACGCGGTCCCCCCGACCATGCTACGGCCGCAGCGGCCTGGAGACCTGCAGATCGGGGCCTCCCTGTACGAACTGGTGGGCTACCGGCAGCCTCCTTCCTCCTCCACTTCCTCCTCCTCCTCTTCCTCTTCCATGACGGCGCCCCTCCTCCCCAAGGCTGCGCGCGAGAAACCAGAGGCGCCCGCCGAGCTGCCCCGCACGGGATCTGGCGCGCACGCGTGCGGCGGAGCCCGAGCGGACCCGAAAGAGGAGCAGCAGCAGCAGCTGCGACGCAAGATCAACAGCCGCGAGCGGAAGCGCATGCAGGACCTGAACCTGGCCATGGACGCGCTGCGCGAGGTCATCCTGCCCTACTCCGCGGCGCACTGCCAGGGCGCGCCGGGCCGCAAGCTCTCCAAGATCGCCACGCTGCTGCTCGCCCGCAACTACATCCTGCTGCTGGGCAGCTCGCTGCAGGAGCTGCGCCGCGCGCTGGGCGAGGGCGCGGGGCCCGCCGCGCCGCGCCTGCTCCTGGCCGGCCTGCCCCTGCTCGCCGCCGCGCCCGGCTCCGTGCTGCTGGCCCCCGGGGCCGTGGGGCCTCCCGACGCGCTGCGCCCGGCCAAGTACCTATCCTTGGCGCTCGACGAGCCACCGTGCGGCCAGTTCTCGCTCCCCGGAGGTGGTGCGGCAGGCTCTGGCCTTTGCACCTGCGCCGTGTGCAAGTTCCCGCACCTGGTCCCCGCCGGCTTGGGCCTGGCGGCTGTGCAGGCTCAGTTCTCCAAGTGAAGGCGGCCCCGGGGGCCCGGGGCGGGGCGCACCCTTGGCCGGACCATCTGGCACCCAGAGCGTCTCCGCTCCCCAGCACCCGGAGTCCAGGGAGAGTTAGGCTCAAGCCTGCCGTGCGTTTTGAGCCTTCTCGCCTGGCAGAAGGGACTGAGGGGCGCCTGCTCCCTGCGCCCCACTCTCGGGAAATCAGAGCGATCGGAACGGGGTTCGAGTCCTAGGGCGATCGCACCTGCTTAGGACAGAAAGGGCCGCTCCGCACCGGCGCTCGGTGCCCCGGCACTGTGTGCGTGCGCCGCGCGCGGTGCTCGGAGTAGGGATTTCGGGAGCCTTGCGGGGCGCCGCTGGAGGCCGGGCCGAGCGCGACCGCCCCGGAGCCCCGGGCTTTCCCACGGGGCGGGAGGTGGGGGGTACAGCTTTCCCCCGGAGCCGACGAGAGGGGAAAATGGGACGATGGCCAGAAACCACAGGCACCTTCACTCCCACCAGCCAACCTCGGTCAGCAGAAACGGAGGAGGAGCCGTCGGCGGTGCGCACCGAGGCCCCGCGTGCGGGCTTGGGGGGGGGGGGTCACTCTGCCTTTTCCTTTACTTTTTTTTTAAATTTCTTTTTTTTGATGTTGTTCTTGTTAAAATGCTGGGTTTTTTTTTTTTTTTGAGACTCGCCTAACCCGGTTTGGTTTGGTGTGGCGGGGCGTATTTTCACTCGATTCCTGGGGACTTCTTAGAAAGGCAGCTTCGAACTTAGGGTCACCTTTCGTCGCGTCTTCTCCACGCGGAAGCCTTCGTTAGGAAATAAATCCAGCCTCTTTTCGCGCCATCGGTGTTCTCGTTTGACTAAACCAGGTAACCAGGCTTTTCGTAGTTGCGGACTTGTGAAGCTCACTAATAAACGTTCTCATTAAAAACCAACCAAACAAGCCACGCGCTGGTGGATCGCGAGCGCGGATCGGCCGCCGCTCCGCGGCGGGCCCAGCTGCGGTGCAGGCGGGACGCGGCTCTGCGCGCTGCCCCCCCCCCCGCGCGCCCTTCCCGCACCAGCGCGCCCCGCAGGCTGCCCCTCTCTTGACAACCTAAAAAGACCCGTCTGGGTTTGCTGTGGCGTTAACAAATCACCCAAGATGATATTTTAGGATGTTTCGTCATCTCGCGTTGAGTTTTGTTTGTTAAGTTGCAAGGGATTTGGGTTGTGGATAGGAGCCTCCCGTTCACTGGCATTTGGTTTAAACTCTTAACTCTGTCCCCTAGAACTCTACAGCCTCAACAGAATAAATCATGTCAAGTCAATGTTTTGACTATTTTTTTCCCCCATCGCCTTTGTTAAATAAAAATTCTCCCGGATCTTGGTGGATTCAAAACATTCAGAGTGGAAAGTCAGGCTTCCCATGGAAAAACTGGACTTCCTGAATTTGTTAAAACAGCCCAAGACCAGGCACCATAGTTGAAGTTCAGACACAGCTGGACATGGGAGGAGTGCTAAGCGCCCCCCCCCCCAGATGCAGCTCCAGGATGAGATCTTCACCCAGCTCTGGGAATGGGTCCATTTTGACTACAGCTCCAGTGAAGAATGAGTGAAGGAAGCAGTACATGTTTATTGTTTTCCTCAGTCTCCACATCCTTCTCAGAAGTACATTTTTCTATCTTAGTAGACAGAGGCTAAAATACCACCACACACCCGTAGACCTCACACTACCCCTAGCAGATGTTGGTTTTTAATTGTGTTGTGGTTGTTGTTTGTTTTTGTACCAGCACTGGGGCTTGATCTCAGGGCCTTGCATCGCTCCCCGCCTTGGCTTTTTCAAGTGGTAGCACAACCACTTGAGCCACAGCTTCATAGCATGCTTTTTGATGTTTAATTGAAAGTAAGTGTCTCAGACTTTTCTGCTTGCCTCAAGCTCTCTTGCTCTTGTTTTCCATCTCATGGCTAGCACTCCTTCATTTCTGGCTTCTTACTGGTTAATTGCTGAAAAGAGTCTCACAGATTTTTCTACCTAAGCTGGCTTCACACTTCAATCCTCATATCTCAGCCTCCTGAATACTAGGATGATAGGCATGAGCCACCATCACCTGGTTTTATCACCTGCTTTTACAACCACTTCCCTTTTGGTCTTTTCTTCATGGCCTCTCCTTCACAAGGAACCCAAGGAAAAGTCAACATCCACAAAACCAAACCAACTCAAGGACTCCATGGGAATAAAACTTCATTGCTAGGTTAGAAATAAGACATTTCTTCTCAGGCTAGCAAATAGGTAGCACTAGCATTCCTAAATCACTCAAAAAAAACAACAACAAAAAACAAAAAACCCCTGCAGAGCAGAAAAGTGGCAGTGTCATCTCTCTTCTTACTCTCCTTGAAAATCGGAACCAGAACCAACAAATGCACCTGTGGGAAAAGTAATATGACACATGAGAAAATCACACCTTAACATGCTTCCAGAACCCACAAAGATTATAAATGGTTTTCCCCAAGACACCCAGTGTTCTGGGCACCATTCCATTGTCTGCAAGGATATAATATCTGATTGGCCATTATACCAAGCAAGATACGCTCCTTGTAAGAAATATATATATATATATATATTAAAGCTACATCAGGAGTCCTATAAGATAAAAGAGACAGAGGTGGTTATATATAGCGTCAGTGATATACTGGGCAAATCTCTCAACACACTATGGTAGTGAACTGGGCAGGCAAGCGTTGCAGCTTTGTAACAGCAGCTATGTTCTGGCATGCTACCAAGGGAGCTAGTGACTCACCCACCTCCCTTTTGTTGCAGTGGGCTTTATACAGAAAGAAACTGATTAATTGGTCTTTGAAGAGGATGAGAATACAGGAAAGATGTCAGGCAGTGCCCATGAGAAAGGTATTGTAGGCTTCACTGCTAATGTGCCATCCTAGCAATTAGAGGAAAAACGCTCAGTCTGAGAAATGTTACTATATGTGTTTAGAGACCAGGTGAGCAGTCAGAAAAAAAAAAAAAGGAGCAGGTTAAATGCACTACGGGATGCACAAAACCCAACGTGATGGCCTATTTACAGTGTTCTTCATGAGAAACTGATCATAGCAGGGATGAAAATATAACCTCTCAGCCATGTAATTTAGAAGGTAAGTAGTCCCAACAAGGAAGAGGTTAGCCTCAAGCATGGAAAACAGTTTACCCATCTTAAGTGCAGGTTTGAAGCCATGGTGCTTCTATGTTGCCTACCCAGTTTGTTTATGGACCTTCATCTTTGCTGATTGCCTAGGTATGAAGGTTGAGACTGGCTGCAAGTAGAGAGCCAATACTCAGAACTTCAGCCTGCTAGCTAGACCAGAACCTTCCATTAGAAGCCAATCAGAATGAGATTGCCTTTCTACCATGCCACCATATTTTACAAACAAGATACCAAGAGCAACATGACGGTTGGGAAGAGCCAAGAGATGGATGCTTTGATTTACCATGGCATGCAGTACAGCAATGGAGAGAATATATTTCCTTCAAAAGATATATAGCCTTAGAGCCAGGCGCTGGCAGCTCATGCCTCTCATCCTGGCTACTATGGAGGCTGAGATCTGAGGATCACGGTGTGAAGCTAGCTTGGGCAAGAAAATCCATAAGACTCTTTTCTTCAATTAACCAGCAAAAAGCCAGAAGTGGAGGGGCTGGGAAGGTGGCTCAGTGGTAGAGTGCTTGCCTTGCATGCCTGAGGCCCTGGGTTCGATTCCTCAGCACCACATAAGCAGAAAAAGCCAGAA